AATCCCTGCTATCAACAATTAGGAAAAATATAGATATAAGGGGAATTAATGTAGGAAAGACAGAACATAAGGTAGCCGCATTTGCGGATGACTTATTGTTCTATATTGGAAACCCTAGGATAACGCTTCCCAATCTAATGAAAACATTGAAGGAATATGGGGAATTGTCAAACCTAAAAATTAACCCGAGTAAAACAGAGATATTAAATATAAATCTTCCAAGGAGTGAAAAAGAAATGATACAGAGAGAATTCCCCTTTTTATGGAAAGATAGAGAAATAAAATATCTGGGAGTGAAACTTACTTCTTCACAGAAAAACCTTTATAAAGCTAATTATATTCCATTGTTAAACGAGATTAGGGAAGAATTGAAGAAAATTGGAGGAGGAAATCCTTCCTGGTTAGGTTGTATTAACTTAAAAAAAATGGTAATTGTCCCCAAGATCCTGTATAAACGCCAAATGATTCCCATTAAACTCCCAGGGATATACTTCAGGACAATCAAGCGAATGGTAACAATATATATATGGAAAAATAAAAAACCTAGAGTATCATATGAAGTGCTAAGTAGAAATAAAGAAAAGGGCGGGTTGGGAATGCCGGACTTCAGAAGATATTATAGGGCAGTCATCCTAGCAAGAATTTTTGATTGGAAGCACAATTTAAAGAGTAAAAATTGGGTTACAATAGAAAATGCACTTAGTGGAAAGGATTTGAGTGGGATTGTTTGGGTGTCAACACAGTTTAGAGAATTAGCTGAGAGCACGAGTCCATACACTAGGATTGTATTGAAGGAGTGGGATAGATTGCACAAACAGAGGAATTGGGATTTTAACTCACTGCTAATGCCACTAAGAAATTCAGAGTTTTTTCCCCCAGGTAAAGAGGAAATTACGGGTAAATGGATTAAGAAGGAAGATGCTCAGTTGAGAGATGTAATGGAGGGGGTAAACTTAAGAACACTGGAGGATTTGAAAAGGGAAGAGGGAGGGATTTTCACTAAGATAGATATATGGAGATCTAACCAATTGAAACAATTTGTGGGGAAATTGACGAAGCCCCTTAGAATTAGAAAAGATTGGAATTTATTTGAGAAATTTTTGGAAGTTCGAGGTGATGGGAAGCACAGCACTGCTAAAGCATACAAAATTCTCACTGATTTAGATAGTAAGTCAAAATTAAGATACATAGAAAAATGGGAAAGTGATTTAGGGGTGGAGTGGGAGGAGCATACACAAAGAAAAAATATAGATTGGTACATGGGAATGTCAGTATGCGTGAGGTGGAAATGAACTATAAATGTCTGAGTAGGTGGTATATTACACCGACGGTAGAGCACAAGATGAGTGGGGAGAAACAACCTTGGTGTTGGCGAGAGTGTGGAGGGGTGGGCACAATGTACCACATATGGTGGGGATGTTCAAAAATACAAGTTTACTGGAGAAAGGTTATAAATCAAATTAGGATTATCACCGGAATCGAGATTGGTCTGGACCCTGAAATTTGTCTTTTTCATATCACAGAAATATCAATGAATAAAAATAAAGATATGGGCATAGAGTGCTATTTAAATGCAGCAAAAGGATTGATACCTAGGTTTTGGCGCAAAGTTGAGGCACCGAAGGAAGAAGACTGGATGAACAGAGTGGATCAGATTGTTAGATTGGAGAAACTATATTATATACAGGAAGATAGGATGGAGGTTTATTATACAAAATGGGAGGAATTTAGGGCAAAGATGAAAGAAGTTACTCTGTAAATAAGTATAAAGGAAAGGGGAAAAGAAAGAAAGGAAAAAGAAAAGAAAAATATATAGGAATATGTCTTATTTGCTTGCTTCCTTTTTTTTTTTTTTTTTTTTCTATCCAGAAGATGTGAGTTATAAGTTGATCAGACAGATGTCAGGGGTTTACTGAAGAGGGGTGGTATGGAGGGTGGGCTGAGGGAAGGGGGTTATGGGGATAAAATGATATGCAATAAGTGGTTTTAGAAGAAATTTGTTATTTCGTATTTCCTTTTTTCTTGGATGTATTTGTATTGCTATATTTGAAAATGAACAAATATCTAAATTAAAAAAAAAAAAAAACTAACACCGATCGATGTGGATGAAGAAATCTCTGCCAAAATGTTTTTATTTAAATATATGCCGAAGCATAGGGTCCATCCACCCACAGGGCACCCCTGGCCTCCATGCTTGGGCATATATGCTCCTTTTTTTTTTTTCTTTAACTGTGGATGAAAAATCTCATCCAACACTGCTGCACCCACTTGCATATATTCTAAGAGCAAGACACTGATGCTCTCAGAATAAACACACAGTGCTGCAGCTGAATTACATTCCAGCAAAGAAAACGGCAGTGGTTAACAGTAAAACAGTAACTCAGCAACAAAAAAAACTACTATTTTTGGTTTTTAATTTTTTTTTTTTTTTAACTGTAACCAGATTGCAGGGTCTCTCGGAATACAATAGCCAGTTTCCTGACTACCTAACATCTTTGAGACCCTGTGCAAATATGTGCCCTGAACCGTGCCGTGCTGTATCCTATACTAATAGTCAACTAGTGTATGGTAATAACGGACGCAGTCCTTGAGGTAGAGACCAGGTTGGCTAGGACAGGAGAGAAAAAGCGGTTGTCATACCTAATTCAGTGTCTGTTACAGAAATGACATCTTTTTTGGGGCGTCTTTTTGGTTTGGAGTACCAGGAATGGCATCGGAAAAATGTCTCTCATGCAGCCGGCTAACTCCATCTGGGTTGGGGGGTTTGCGCCATAGCACCTTCTGGATACAAAAGGGACGTGATATCTTCCTGGAATTTTAGGAAGGATCCACTATGTCCAGTTGCTTTATAAAGCACAAACGCATTATATAGAGACAATTTAAATAAACAGATGCATTTTTTGTACCAGCATCCAGCTTTTCGGGAAACTAAGTACGTCTTCATCATCTGGTCCTTGAAATCCACCCCTCCCATGTTAACGTTATAGTCGTGGTCACAGAGGGGCTTCTCCACAACACCAGCTGCCGTGGAAATTTGGATGGTCGTGTCTGCGTGAATGGAAGACAGGACGAAAACATCCCGTTTTGTCCTTCCACTACACTGCGAGTAATTCATAATTTCTTAGGCAGAATTTTTTCCCCCTTTCTAAGATGGGTATTTACAAGCCGTTGGGGGAAGCCCTGGTGATTATTTCAGTACAGGAGTGGAACAGGGAGCACATATTTGCACCCAAGGAGGGAGACAGACCATCAGTGTTTCCACCAGGTGCCACATTCGTGCTTGACACTTGTGAAACTTTTATGACCTTCATCTGCGGTGCACCATGGAAGTGCACTGGTCTTGTGAGTGTTGGTATTATTTTAATAAATTTGGATTTTATGCAGTACACACTATGCTAGTTTGTGTGTGTATATGTACATGTGTGTGTGTGTATACATTGGTGGACCCCATGAGCCAGTGAAAAGTGTAACCCACCAGGAGGAGAATTCCCCACAACCCAAGGGTAATAAGGATTAAAGGCGCTCAGACCGAAATTATAGTAGGTCAAACCGTTGAGGTGAGAAGATTCGCAAGGTGGTGTCATAACACCTAGTTTTTTTCCACGCACCTGGACCAGCAAGGGCCAGCAAGGACTGATATTCCGCAATCCTTATATAGGGTAAAGACTGGATATATTATTGAGGACTCCTAATCGATTTATCCTTTGTTTTTTTTTTGTGTAGCACTGTCCCTTTTTTGTTTAACTAGTTGCCGACCGCAGATTGCCGAATGACGGCTGCACTGCGGCCGGCCAGTTTTGAGTGGACGTCATATGACGGCCTCCCAGAACGCGCTCTCCTGCGCTCCCCAGGGGGCGCGCACTCGGTGATCTCCGTGATCGCTGTGTCCTACGGACACAGCTGATCACGTGATGTGGTAAAAGGCCAATCACAGTGGCCTTTTACCACGTGATCAGCGGTGTCCAATGACACGCTGATCAGAGGGAAATGCAAGTGCCGGTTCTCGGCTGCACTTTCCTCACGCTGTCAGATCGTGAGGAAAGTACTGCCGAGAACCGGCAGTTGTCAGAGCGGGGATCGGCACCAATCATCAGGGCACTGATGATCAGTGCCCTGATGATCGGTGCCCAGCAGTACCACCCGCAAGTTCCGCCCCACCTGTGCCCAGCAGTGCGCCCACTAGCTCCGCCCACCTGTGCCCAGCAGATCACCCACCTGTGCCCAGCAGATCACCCACCTGTGCCCAGCAGTGCACCCACCTGTGCCACTCTGCAGTGTCACACACCTGTGCCCAGAAGTGCCACCTACCTGTGCCCAGCAGTGCCACCCCCCACCTGTGCCCACCCACCTGTGCCCACCCACCAGTGCTGCTCACCAGTGCCACCCACCAGTGCTGCCAGTCAGTGCCCAGGGGTTGTGCCAGTCAGTGCCGCCAGTCAGTGCCCAGCAGTGATGCCAGTCAGTGCCGTCTATCAGTACCCATCATCAGTGTCACCTATCAGTGCTGCATATTAGTGCCGCCTATCCGTGACACCTCATTAGTGCTGTCTATCAGTGCCGCCTATCCGTGCCACCTCATTAGTACTGCCTATCAGTGCCCTTTAGTGCTGCCTATCAGTGCCGCCTATCAGTGCCCATCAGTGCTGCCTCATCAACGTACATCAGTGAAGGAGAAAAAATACCTGTTTGAAAAATTTTATAATAGAAACAAAGAAACTTTTTTTTTTTCAAATTTTTTGCACTTTTTTTATTTATAGCGCAAAAAGTAAAGCGCCCAGTGGCGATTAAATACCACCAAAAGAAAGCTCTATTTGTGAGAAAAAAATGATCCAAATTTCATATTGGTACGATGTTGCATGACCGCGCAATTGTCAATCAAAGTGCGGCAGCGCTGAAAGCTGAAAATTGGCCTGGTAAATAAGGGGGTATAAGTGCCTGGTAGGCAAATGGTTAAAAAAAAACCACAATTTTGTATTTTACATTTTTTTTTTTTTTTTCTCCAGATTACAAAAGCAGTTAAAGCCCTCCTTGCATATAAAAAAACTAAGGAGAATGGCAGCAAATTACTCCTAAATGAATATGATTGGATTTCCTTAATGGTGACTGTTTGGAGAATTCCGAAGCACCTACAGACCATCAGAATGTAAGCATATCTGTGTAAAATGTAAAACAGCCCTGAAGTATATTTGATTTCTTTGTTACATGTCATTTACTACAACAGAACCTTATGTATGAATTTGTTTCTACTAAACTAGAGCTATTTTTTCCACAGCCTGCCCTAAAAGATTGCATGTGATTGGCAGCTGTGCAGAAATAACACCTGTTCTTTGTAAGAATATTGTTGATACACAAGCCCCTTGGTGGCTGAAAGAGAGGATTTTGTTTCTTTGGTCAATACTTCTGTATTTCTCACCGTGAGTAAAGGGAAGAGATGCAAAGCTGGTTTTGAGTATTAGTTTATCCAGCCTTTGTAGCACTTGAGCTCTCTCTCCTTCAATTTTGATTCACAGGTACAGCTATAATGTATGGTGGTTGTAGAACACCCCCGCCCCCCCCCCCCCCCCACCACCACCACCACCACCACCACACACACTGTTGCATTTATTTTCTTTCTTTCTTTTTTCTGCAGCCCTCTCCCTCATGGTGTAAGGCCTGATGCATGTGAAGTTTGCCTTTTTACTAAAGATGAGCCAAATATGACAAGTGAACAGACAGAAACTTTCTACAAAAAATTACTTGCTCAGCATGGCATTACACAGATAACCAAGGTAAATAAGGGGCTAAGCTTTGTTAGTAGATTTGAAGTTGGACTTGAGAAAGTTTTTTTGTTTACGATGCAGCTCTGCTTTGGATGACCACCTTCTGCATATTGTGCCACCTGCAGGAGTAGGATGCTAGGTACAAATGAAAAAACAAAGGACCCCGCCCTTGCTGGTGACAAGCCCCCCTCCATAGCATGCTTGGATTAGTTGGTCATAGTGTCCCCTAAAAAGCCCACAGCCAAAGGCTTTCCTGTCATACTCAAGCTTTGACTCCCTGGAGGATGCAATCCTGGCATATAGTTATGAGTAGGATACAGGGACAGACTTGGAAGTTGACTACAAAGTGTCTGCAACAGGTTATCTCCAGGAACAGTTGGTGTCGGTCATAATTTAGGTTTAGCCAGTTATGTTTTTATACTTCACAGATGACTACCAACTATATTACACCATCAGAGCTCTCTTTTTATTTTCTTTGAACGAGAGCGTATATGCAACATTTGCCAATGTTCAACACTGGAGCCCCGTATCTTCTCTGTGTTATTATTGACTTCTTTATGCAGTGAGGTGCTACTGAGTTTTTACCTCGACACAGCAGATCACCAGGTAAATACAATTTCTGGTTATCGGCTGCACTTTCCTCATGCTGTCACAGCGGGAGGAAAGTACTGCCGAGAACCGGCAATTGTCAGCGAACTGATAGCACTCTGGGTGTACTGTGTACAATTTATAGTTGGACAGTGTCATTTTTTTAGCACTGAAAATGTTCTTTGATATTTTATTAAGAACTTGATATATGGTTTGTTTTGTCAGCAGCGTCTACTTTAGCACAGTTTATATTTATTTGGCTTTTAATGACTCGTCATTCAGCACTGTACCCAAGTGAAGTATATTTTTTCTTTGAGAGGTACATTTGGTGGTATTTAACCACTTGACCTCCGGAAGATTTACCCCCCTTCCTGACCAGGCCATGTTTTGCAATACGGCGCTTCGGTACTTTAACTGACAATTGCGAGTTCATGCAATGCTGTACATAAATTACATTTGTCATTTTTTTCCCCACAATTAGAGCATACTTTTAGTGGTATTTGATCACCTCTGCATTTTTTTTTTCACTTTTTGTGTTCTAAACAAAAAAAAAGACCGACAATTTTGATTAAAAGTTTTTTTTTTTTTCTGCTATAAAACATATCCAATAAAAAAAATTTAAATCAAATTTCTTCATAAATATATAGACCAAGATGTATTCTGCTGCATATTTTTGGTAAAAAAAATCCCAATAAGTGCATATTAGTTTGCAAAAAAGTTATAGCATCTACAAACTATGGGACATATACTGGAATTCTTTTAATTTGTTTTTCAATACTAGTAATGGCGGTGATTAGCGACTGCGATATTGTGGTGGACATTTTTACACTGACACTTTGTGGAAACTAGTGACACTGATGCAGTGATCAGTGCTAAAAATATGAACTGAGAATGTACCAATGACACAAGTGAAGGATCATGTTCCCAGCTTTGCTGTGCAGATAAATACAAAACAACATGTCCTTGCTGACAGCAGAGAGACCTGTGTTGTTTACACACAGGTCTCTCCCCTGTCGACTTTGCACGCCAGGTGCTGATGGAGAATCTCCGGCCGGGACCCAGTGATTGACATGGCTAGCTGCCAATGGTGGCGTGGGTAGGGTGGCACACACTCTCCCTACCCGGAAATGCAAGTAATGTGTGTATATATACTTGATTTTTGCATAGCTCTGCCGCCCTGGAGCAGTATTTCTGCTATAGGGTGTTGGGCAATCTGTTAAAATGAATGTGGTTTATAAGCGGAAACCCACATACACTGTCTGAAAAGGCAGTTATTTACCTGTTAACTGTATTTCCAGGAATCTTCCAGGACAGGTTCACATGAGAGGCTCCTCCCACCAAGAAACACCTGATCCACGTTTCTTTAATAAATAGCCTCTCCATCCTTGGGGTCCTTGGTATAGGAATATAACCAAAGGTCTAGGATAGAGCATAAATCTAACAGTAGTAACAGTATACGTACAGTCTAATACATGACATAACACCATCCCATACTTATACAGTAATCGGGAGGAACTGCCCTGTCCTGGAAGATTCCTGGAAATACAGTTAACCATTAAATGTTTTCCCAAGTCATCTTCCAGTACAGCTTCACATGAAGGGAAGGCAGGGAATTTGGGAGTATACGGGTTTCTACGTCTAGCGATGGCCCTCGGGAATCTTATGACCAGAGGATCTTCTAATTTCAATTCTAGGAAATTAGAGCAGCTACTTTTTACTTTAAGTGTACTAGCTGCTAGGTTCTTGTCTGCTCCTGTTAGTGACAGACTCTCCAGGTGTGGGTGTAACACCTTTCCCTGCACTAGTAGGTTCTTCCTGGTGGAATTATCCAGGGATCCACTAAGCTCAGCTTCTTCAGGAGAAAAAAACATGACTTTTTTGGCCAAAATGGAGCTTTTAGGATGACCCTGGCCTGAGACCTCTGAATCTTCTGTAAGACTCTTGGTAGTAGTCTAAAGGGCAGAAAGCCTTAAAGGAGATCATACTCCCATGGCTGAGCCAATGCTGCTGTGCCCGCGCTTTGAGTGTCTCTTTGCAGACAGAAATATTTGCTTACTTTGGCATCTCTTCTGTTGGCAAAAAAGGTCTATAGACAGAGTGCCCCATCTGCTGCAGATTTGGGCAAATGTTGTGTGGCTGAGGCACCACTACAATTGGTTGATTTTCTTTTCCACTTGGTTTGTCTGCCGGAAAGTTCAAGTGTCCCTTCACTTGAATCGCCATGATTGACCTGAGCTTTTCTTCTGCCCAAGCTAAAAGAGTTTTTTGCTAATTTTGTTAGTTTCAGAGATCTTGTGCTTCCTTGTCTGTTTAGGTATATGACTGTTGTCATGTTGTGAGATGGGCTTGAATCTGCTTTCCCTTTATTTCTGCCTGGAATGACATCAGAACTTTGAAGACTGCCATCAATTCTCTGAAGTTTGGGGAGCTTCTTGCTGTCTCCGTGTCCCATTTGCCTTGAGCCAGGCAGTCTTCCATATGTGCACACCACCCCCAAATGCTTGCATCTGTTGTAACTTTTGTTGGATTGGATTGCTTCTACCTCCTGCCATGTTCCAACATTCGTGTTTTGTTCCAGCACACTAGTGATTCCGATACGCTGCTTGGCGCCTCTGATTGTGCAGTCTGTTGCCTCCATAAGAATCTGTCCTGTTGGAGTATCAGCGCTTTTTCTGGTGTGAGGTATACACAGGTACTCGTTGAGTTCAGGATGTATCCCAAATATCTGATTCTGTTAGAAGGAACTAGCAGGGATTTTTCTGAATTAGCCAGCCTAGGTCCGTCAAGAAAGATATCATATCCGACACTTGATTCAGGTTAAATTCAGGGAAACGTTTTTTTTTTTTTCCTTTTGAGACCGTTTTCCTTGGATAAAGATATTAAAATCAGCATATGCAGGCCCAATCTATCCTAAAAATGATAATTCACATGTATAACATGACGTAGTTGCAATATATACAGTTTTTTGCTAACAAATGACAAATACAAAACTGGGTTCAGTCATTAAGGTTTGTTTCACCTTCCATTTTAAAGGGGTTAACGTTATTTCCCCACTTTTCAAAACTTGGTGGGTTAGGGGAAATCCATTCTGTGCCATCGATTTGTGTACCACAAATAAGAGTCTAGTAATCGTAAGTACTTCTGGGGTTTTCTTGTCCAAGGAACATAGTATACATCTGCAGAGATTTAATGGTATGGCATTGGAGATTCCCCCGAGGATGACAGTGTATTGTCGTTTAAATGCATAAAACACATTATAACGCTCATATCTATGCCTGGCCATGGCAGCAGAGAACACGGGCATATGATGAATCGGGTCTGTGGACCAATACAACCGCAATTCATTTTTTTTAAACAATGCCCATGTTGAGGGTTAGGCCCAAAAAAAAAGTAAATTCGAAAACCGTAATGAGTTTCCATACGACTGGTCTCGCAAGGTTTGAATTTGGGTTGGCAGCGATAAATTGTTCATATAAATTGCTTTGATCCACACTCAACCCATACAGATATTCCATGAAAAATAGCTCCAAAAATCAAGGGGAGTAGTTAAAATTTGCTATTTCCACCTAAATTCCGGGTTGGGCAGTGAATGGGGGAATTACGGGTGCTAAAGAATTTGTGGGCTGTCAATCGGGATTTGCAAGGACATCCGGAAGGATACTAGGAGCTCTACGGGCCTGTGTGTGCGAATTCTTTGTGGTTGCGGGACATAACTTGTACTTGCCACCGCACCAGCTTGTACTGCACTTATGGGACTCGCCACATCGCCAAGTCATACTGCAGTGCTGGTATTATTATTATACAGGATTTATGGCGCCAACAGTTTTGCTCAGCGCTACAATATAACAGGGGACAATACAGAGCAATACAAGTACAAGAAGGTTAGGAGGGCCTGATCCTGGGAGCTTACAATCTAAGAGATATGTGAAAGACCACGATGTACTAGGCCACTAGTACTCGCCAGTTCACCAAAAGGTAGCGTGGCACTAGTACTGGCACTCTGCCGCATATGAGAGTCATCACCAATACCCCCTTTACCGACAAGTACTAACAGAGATC